AGTTTTACGATCCGATAATATAATGGGGGACAATTTTATACAATTTATATAGTAGATGGACATATCAGACCCTTTTCCGTTATTTTTAGCTCACACTCTGTTCAATTCTTCTTCGTACTTGAGTTTTATACTTGACATTTGGGCTTCATTTGTGAAGTCAAAAGATCCATATTTCATTTGGCTGACTAACCCAAAGTTCTGTACCTCTACAACTAAGCCCACCCAAATCGGATTATGTTTTTTTTTGGGTTAAATTAAAATGTGTTAATATTAGCTTAAAGTATATATATGAATGGAAGTTAGATTAATGAAGAAACAATTACCATATATTTGAGAGAAAATTATCACGAATCTGTCTTTCATATGACGAGAAAAAAATAGAGAAAAAAACGGACAAATCGAATAAAATTGAAAAATAAAAAATAATTAGTGTGTTTTTGAAGAAAATTGAATCATGAGCAGCTTAAACCTAAGTACGCATTTCGTTGCACCAAATGCTTTTCTTACGTAGCTCAAATTGACGGCTGCCATTTCCTTTAAATCGACATTTTCCTCTCTACCTATTTCTTGGTTTGATTCGGTTTATGTAAATTTATTTCTTTTAGTCTGTGTTAAAAAGAATGATCAATTTGCATATTTGGAAACATTTACTTTTATGCAATGATTATACCCACACAGATTATATGTGTCTTATTTTACACTACAAATTCAAAAGTCATTCTTTTCTTTCTTAAACTTCGTATTCAATCAAATAGATTTACATAAATTAAAACAGAGGAAGTACTTTTTTATGCTTCTTTTCCATATTTTGTGCGTGCTGCAATTGGAAGTGTATACAAGCCTAAAGGATCACCATAGTTAGTCCGCATTATTATAGACATCAACCTATGCAAATTTTTTGGTACAAAGTATACAATATAAGATTAAATTGTTACTAAGAATTGATAGATAGGCGACGTGGCAAATTGCAACATGCGGGCAGGGTGAGACGGGGTTTATAGTTGGTAGTTTGCAAAATAATGAAACGAAAGTAGTATTTAATTTAAGAAAAAAAAAATAAACGCAACGAAACATGAAGCGGGTAATATTAAAATGAAGAAAATTAAATAACTTTTTAAAATTTTGAGAAATTTGGAGCCCGTTTGGATTAGCTGAATTGAAGTAGGTGACAAGCATTAGGTGCTGAAAAGCACTTTAAAGGTGTGTTTGGTATGAAGGAAAACATTTTCCGAAAAATATTTTCTAATTTTCCCATGTTTGATTAGCTTAAATGTTTTGGAAAATATTTTCCTTATCAATTCATTTTCCTCCAATTGGAGGGAAATGTTTTCCTTATCAAGAAAAGGAAAAATATTTTCCAAAGCTCCTTCTCAACTTTCCTCACCCTCACCCTCACCAACTCACCCCACCCCCTCTCCAAAAAAGGGTTTTTTTCTTCAAATTTCAGTTTTTCTGTTACCACCCACCCTACTACCCCTCCATTCCCCTCCCCCTGCCCCGCAAAAAAAATAATATTTTTTACCTTAATTTTTTNACATTTTCTTGGAAAACATTTTCCGTTATACCAAACACACCCTAAGTGTTGAAACTGATTTAATAAATAAGCAGTTACGTGTTTGGATACAAGTACTAAAATTGATAATAAGTTGCTACAGTATTTGATAAAAAGTGCTGATAAGCTCTTTTTCTGTTAAAACGACTTAAATAACCTTAGAACTGTTTAACTTATAAGGGCGTAATTTTTTTCAAAATTGTAGATTCCAAATCGATTCAAATATAAAATATTCTATTTGTAATTTTATTAATATAATTGTGCTTTGATACGATAATTTTTATGATAAATATAATTTATTTTATGATAATTATATAATCTTAAGTTATAATAATTAATAAATTGACAAAAGTTTCTTAGTAAAAAATATTGCATCAAGCTCTAAAGGAGTATTCTATACCAGCTCGAAGCCTTATAGCTAGATCAAAGACTGTCGTAAGTTGCATCATGAGTCTTAAGATTTGGGTCCCTTAGCCCCTGGATTGGTGCGCAAGCAAAAGAAGAACAAAAAAGAGGGGCCTCTGGCTTATTAAGAAGCATATAAACGACATACTAAGCAGAAGCGTGTAGACGAAGGGAGAAGGGCTTTTTCGGGCTTACGACAGTCTGACTTTTGAACGACTAAGCAACTACTAAGCTCCCGCCCACCCCCAAACAATTAGGGTAAAGTGTTCATTCATACCTTCAACAACACCGAGATATTGGCCCATGACCATGTTTACTTCATCTTCAAAAGCAAGCATCCAGGCTCTCGGGGCCTCAGGCAACCCTGGATCCTTTTCTACTTCCTTAGTGATTCCAAGAAGATACTTCAACCCCGTTAAGTTTTAGCTGGCTATCACTATAGGACAAAATATTTGAAGAGAAACAAACACTTTCTTCATCGCCACAACACTTAGAAAGTAATATACCAAAAAATTGATATGTCTATATTTATTACATACAGTTCAATGATTAATACACAACTACATAGATACAAATATGTAGGGATGGCAAGCGGTGCGATTGCGGGGCAAACCCGCATAAACCCGCGAAGATCTCAACCTTCCCCGGCCCACCCCGCCCCGCATAGTATTTTCACCCGCGTCCACCCGCCTCCACATAGACCCGCGGTCACCCTCCCCGCTCCGCACCACATAAGGTTTTTGTTTGTTTGTTCTTTTCATTTTGTTTACTTATTTCATTTTTATATTTTGGCTGCAATTTTCAACTTAATCAACCAAAAAATTGAAAGTTCTTTTTGTTTTTTGTCTGAAATTTTACTTAATTTAAATGTTTATGTAATTGTACAGAGATGGTTCAACCGTGTGTACCTCTCTCTTTCCTCAGGTCTTTGTTACGATTAGGAAGGTTATTGAGCTGCATGACAAGTATATGGCATTTGTGACCAACTGTTTTGCAAAAAAACACTCTCTTTCACAATATATATCCAACTGTTGTTGTTGGAAAGTTATGCTTTTTACCTTAAATAATTTGGAATATGCTTTCTGATGTCTAAATTTTGAATTTCTATAGGCTCTGAAAGAGACATTTGAGGTATTTTGTAACAAAGTTGTTGAGAAGCAAGTTTTATGGGTCCTATGGTGATTTGGAATAAGAAGAAAAATCCTTACACCCTCGTAAACCCGCATAGTCCCGCAACCCACCCCGCCCCGCATAAGTTTTTATGAAAAGTATTTACACCCGTCCCGCACCCGCACCACCCTGTTTGCCATCCCTACAAATATGCAAAGGAATAAAGCATTTGCTTATCTTAAATAGTCAACGAGAATTGCAGACTTAACGAGGCAGCGTGGGAG